CCCCCCCCCCCCCCCCCCAAGATCAGCGGACCAGTTGTTCCTCACAGTTCCAGGAACTCGTCTTAAGCACAGAGGTGACAGGGCCTTCTCTGTAGCAGGACCAAGACTTTGGAACGAGTTACCTCTGCTTGTCAGACTGGCCCCCTCCCTCTCGGTTTTCAAGTCCCGTTTAAAAACTCACTACTATTCAATAGCTTTCAACACCAGATGATCTGTGTTTTGAACCTGTGTGCTCCACACTGGTTAGTCGTCATTATCTGCATCGTTTTTATGTCTATATTCTGATTAACTTCATTTTGTATATTGCTTTGTGTGTTACCTGTTGTTCTGTCTGTACAGCATTTTGGTTGGCCTTGTCGCTGTTTTAAGTGCTCTATAAATAACATGGTATGGTATGGTATGGTATGGAGCATCATATTCCAATTCCTCCCAGATTGTTTAAATCCATAGATGGATTTGTTCAACTTACACACAAATGGTACACCGTTATTTGGTTTAACCTGGAAACCTTTGGGTTGATCCATGTATACTTCACAATCGATGGGTGCATGCAAGTATGAAGCCTTAACGTCCATTTGGTTTAGTGTAAGTTCATGTTGTACAGCTAGTTGCATCAGCACAAGTAGTGACGTCAAGTTTGCAGTTGGAAAGGACATCTCTGAAAAATCAAGCCCTCTACTTGACTGTATTCCTTTGCTACATATCTAGCTTTACATGTCTCATTCCCTTTATTATCCTCCTTGAGAGTAAAAACCCACCTTCCCCCCACTGTCTGTCTACCCTCTGGTAATGGTATAAATGAAAAGGTGTTGTTCTTTTTAAATGAAACCATTTCATCTTTCATTGCCTTTTTCCACCTATCAGATATTGGTGATGCCATAGCCTCCTTATAGGTCTGTGGCAGTCCAACTGTAGCTCTGTAACAGTAATCAATAGTTAACTCACTGCTCTGCACTGCACATTCATAGTCCTCCAAGTATTTAGGTTTCTTTTTGACTCTACCTGTAGTACGTGTAGTCTGTGTGTCAGTGGTTCGATCTGGGTCGTTGTTCATTTTGGAGTCTTTCTCAGTGCGACTGTCTGTTCTGTTTCTTCAGTCAGTGACTGACTAGTTTGACTTGATGTAGTTACCCATTCTATGTAATGGTCCTCTAGTTGGTTCCCATTAGTCTGCGTATGCCTCTCAGTCACACTCTTTGCGATGAAGTGGACCAGTCTGTGTTTCTGAACTTTGTCTCTGAAAAATAAACCATATAAACAGGTGAATGACTATTAAAACCGACAAAAAATCTCCTTTTGCCTTTAGAGTCAAGCTTCTTTTTGTTTTGCTCATACACCATGCACTTTGAACAAAACTTTTTCATTTTTGACAGATCTGGCCTCTATCCAGTAAAAAATTTTGTACTGAATGCTTTTTGTATACAGTAAAAAAGAAAAAGGGTGTTTCCCTTGTTCTCTTACAGTAACACCTGTTTCTTATGATTGCGGCTGTCCTGGCTGCATAAGGCCACAGCTCTTCAGATAAACCTGACTCAATCAGGATGCAGCGGACCATTTCAAATACTGTGCGCCAATTCCTCTCTGCAGTCCCATTTTGATGGGGAGAGTAGGGCGCTGACCTCTCGTGTTTTATAGCTTTGTCCCTCAATAGTGTCTGGTACTCCTATGACACAAACTCTGTCCCATTGTCTGATTGTTTTACTTTACTGTAAGGAGCTGTGTTCTTGTTCCTAAGGAAGTACACATAGATGGCACCAGAAAAAAATCATCAGTGAAAGTGATGGCATATTTGTATCCTTCAAATTACTCTGGTACAAAAGGCCCACCCAGGTCTGTATGAACAAGCTCTAATGGCTCTTTGGCTCTCACATCACTTTGTCTGTTTCTGCTTTGGGAAAATTTAGCCTCTAGCCAAATTTCACATTGGTTAGGTCTGCATGTTTTATCTTTTATTTTCATACCATTTACTACTGTTTCAAGTTTTACAATATCATCATAGGTACAATGACCCTTTATCTCGTGCCATGTTTTCAAATCAAATGATGCATTGCAAGAGTCCTTACTGCTTACATTTTTCTCTGTGACAATGTCCAGCTGGTACAGTCTGTCTTTTGCCTTCATTTTACACATTGTGCCATCAGGAAGGACCATTTTGTTGTTATTCTTTTCAAAGTTGAATCTTGCTCCTTTTGAGGCTGCTGCATCCACAGACAGGATGTTCTGCGGGTATCCTGGAATCAGGAGCACGTTAGTGAGTTTGACACTCACCTCTCTCCCGTTGCTGTTGGTCAGCTCAATTCGTGTGCCTCCTTTCCTCAGGACGTTTTCGGTGATCCGCGTCCCATCTGCCAGCTGCATGATGTGGTCCTTGGGCTGGAAAGTCTTGTTGAATCTGACAAAAAGCACTTTTGTTGGTCATGATGTGGGAAGAGGCACAACTGTCCACCAGTAACCCTTGTTGCTGTGTGCCATGGAGTTGCCATTCACCTACCTGGAGCGTGAACATCTCTTCATCCGTGGATTTGTGCCCGTCTTTAATACGAAGAGTTCGTTGTCCAGTGTCTGTAATGGCGGCCACCTTGTTGCTGTTTTGTGTATTGGTCACTCTCAGTGAGTTTTCTTGTCTTTGTTTTGACAGTCTTTTGCTTTATGCCCCATTTTCTCACAAATAAAGCATTCTCCATTGAAATATTTCCTCTCTTTAAACTTAGGTTTCAATGTTTTCTAATTTGCAGTCATTACTTCGTCTGTTCGGAGCCTGCTACGGTGGTGCAGTGTGCATTCAAAACTTCTCAGTCTTGCCTTGAACTCATTGAAGGTTAACGTTTCCCTCGTCTGAGTGACATCCACAGAAAACGGGTTGTAATCATCCGTTAGTCCTTTTAGCACCATTACCGTCAGAAGTGCATCACTGAGAGTCTCTTTAGCTCTGTTTAATGCGGCTACAATTTTTTCAGCACGTGCTAAATAGCCCACTAATGCTTCCCTGTCGGCCATTAGCACATTTGTTAGCTCTGTGTACAACCCAACAATTTGCGGCATTTCTTCGGACTCAAAATGGCATCTCAATATTCCTAGGCTTTTCTTGACATCATCCAGTGATTCGTAGAGGATTAGCGTTAGCGTTTTATCATCCAAACAACCATACAGTTCTGCACACGCCAGTTCATTTTTTTTACCGATCTTTGCCGCATCTTGTGCGTTATCTCCCTCTGCTAACTCACTTCCCAGGATAGCTTCTTTGAGGCCAATGGTTTTTAAGAATGCTAAAAGCCTTGCTTCCCAGATGTGGTAGTGGGCTTCGTCTCTGTCAAACCATGGTGGAAGTCCCCTTCTGTGCGTCATTACAGCCGAAACTTTACTGGGCCCATAACCTGTAGGCATTTCTGCAGCGGGTATCCCACTATTCACAAGGGAAGTTCTTGGCTCTTCTTCACCATCTGCAGCTTGTGTTGACATTTTTACAGAAATATTAAATTATTCTTTAAGTTAACAAGAGACAGGAGACATTATTCACTGTGGTAGCCACACCATCCCGCTCTCACCGTAGCTCAAGCGCAGGGGGTGGTGAGGCTCCACCTTTATTCCTTCACAACACCGTGTAACTTTTCATGTCACTAAATAGTGCCAATCAAAATACATTAGTGGCAAACGTCGTATTCAGCAACCAGTCTCATTCAGAGTTGTGAGCTTCAAGTTTACAATTATCCCGGTATTTTCTCCATTTGAACAAAATGTTGGCCTGTGTACTCAGGATAGAAGTTTTGTGATGAAGAAGAGATTCAACACAATCTGCTGTATTCCTTAGATAACTTTTACTAATTGGCATTTTATATGTATGTGGACATGTTTGCACAGTGCCCTGAGACAACGTTTATGGGCACTATAATAATAAACTGCAACAAATGTACTCTGTATAGAAGCTAGTAGATCTGACTTTGATGCAACATTTATAGCAGCTTTCTTCCTCAGTCATTAAAGACAGAAAACAGAATCATTTTATAATAAATATAATTCAGATTTTGTTATTTTGATAATAGCATGATAAAATAAACAAATCAACCAGTACTCAGCTGAATTCAACCTTTGGTTTAACTGATACAACAACAAAAGATAATTTCAAAAGATCAAACTCAGAATCTGTAAATTCAATATTTAGAACATTTATCCACTGCTGTCATTGTGTCTGCATGACTTGTTTAAATTACCTGCTTTAAACAGATAATAGTGGGGGGAGGTTTATGGAACAGCAATTTTTAGTTGCTATGAACCATCATATAGGAACTGAAGTCACGTTTTCAGATTATTTCATGTTTAAATATGAGAAATATAGATTACAATATAATTGCAGTTAATGTGATGTAAAAAAAATTATTCTTTTGGGGTGTCCAAGTCTTAATTAGGGGGTAAAATCATTCCTTTCCCCGTTATAGTTAAAATTAGGATTCACCTATTATCACTTCTCATTTATCCATCTGCTTTATTATTTTGTGTTGCTGTGCCTAGATATGTGGGTTCTTCCACATAGTTTAAATGTGCAGCATTGTTGTTTAACACCAATCTGTCAACAGACTCTGACACATCCGAGTTTCAGATCCATCCTGACTACATTAACCACCACTGATGGAAAAGGAAGGCTGCTCATACAGATCTGTGAAACACAAGTCGATTACAAACATGTTGGTTTACATCTAGTTGAGATATTGTTTTACTTTACAGGAGAGTGAGGCGGCACCTTCTCCTGCTGCTCTTGAAAAGACTGAGAACAAACCTGAACCAAGAGCTGCAGCGCCTCCTGGCAACTTTCAATGCAACAACCTCCAGCCAGATAAACAGGAGGACAAATCTCAGCTCCGGGTATGAACAGCTCTCCTGTCCACATGCACACATTATGCTCTGTGCTCATGTCATACACAGAGATTTTCCATCCATCATCATTTTTATCCACTTTTCTCTTGCTGGGTCACGAGGGAGCTGGTGTCTGTTCTCAGAGGCCCCTGTGAGAGGCGGGGGACACCCTGGGCATGTCTCCAGTCCATCATAAAGACAAACAAGACAACCAACTCTCTCACTCACACCTAGGGACAATTTAGAGTTACCAATCAGCCTAACAGGGCGGCACGGTGGTGTAGTTGTTAGAGCTGCCGCCTCTCAGCGAGCGAGTTGCCTTGGTTCAAATCCTGGCCGTGGGCCTTTCCGGGCGGAGTTTGCATGTTCTCTCCGTGCATGCGTGGGTTTTCTCCAGGTACTCTGGTTGCTTCCCACAGACCAAAAACATGCATGTTAGACTGATTGGTAACTCTAAATTGTCTCTAGGTGTGAGTGAGAGAATGAATGGTTGTTTGTCTCATTTGTCTCCATGTGTCCCTGTGATGGACTGGAGACATATCCAGGGTGTTCCCTGCCTCTCGCACTGTGACTGCTGTGTATAGGCACCAGTGACCCTCAACAACCCGAAAAGAAAGAAACGGGTAAAGATAATGGATGGATGGATGGGATCAGCCTAACATGCATGCTTTTGGTCTGTGGGAGGAAACTGGCGTACCTCGAGAAAATCCACGCATGAAAACACCTTATGGAAAGGCTGGGAGGCATACCTGAGACCGTGCTGTGCACCACTAACCATAGTTCTATTGTGCCACCACTGCAGTGTTACCTCTGCTAAAACATGTCAGCATCCATCTTTTATTTGAGGTAACATTTCTCCTGTCGCCTTAACAGTCAGACTGTTGTCCACTGGTTTGCAGGTTCGTCCAGTCTTGCAGCGAGGCGGCAGCTCAGCTTCCCTCCACAACACTTCCCTGCGGAGCACCATCTTCCAGTTGATGATACACACACTGGATCCTCTGGGAGAAGGTATGACAGCTGATCCTGCATGTTGTCACACGATTAACTGACACATTTGGCTTTCGTTTGTGATTTAAAAGAAATTATTTTTTCTTTTCCACTTGTCAGACAATTAAACATAATTTGTAAATCAGGCAATTTATTTAGTACCAGTTTGTTTTAAAAAAAATCACTGCAGGCCACTATAAGAATGTTCACACAGTGCAGTTCAGACAGATCGATCCAACACATTTTTATAGACCACCAAGATTTAAGGAAAAACTGATCAAATGAAAAGACAAATATAAAACAATGCAGCCCTTTTCATTTTGATTCAAGTCTACTATTTGTTTATTCAGTGAAAGGACTTCAAGTGAGATGCTCAGCTTTGAGTTGCAGTGAAGGTGGTGGAGACTTGGTTCTACTCGTCCTGTAAATCAGAGTGACCTTCAGTTAACAGTGTACTGCCAATCCCTGCTCTCACAGTACCTGACCATCACTGATCCTTAATCAGCTTTTCAATGCAGGCTAATGAAATCTGGATCAGAGCCGGCATGCTTACAGACCAAAGTTTGGACCTCCATGAAACAAGACAAGTCTGGCTCTGTGCAATGGACTCTGCTCTGTAACATGAACTTTTAGTTTCCTGATAGTTAAAATGTTCAGCCTGCTGCACTGAATTAACGTTAACTAAAAGATGATGGATGGATGGATGGATGGATGGATGCATGCATGGATGGATGGATGGATGGATAGATGGATGCATGTATGGATGAATGGATGATGGATGGGTGCATGTATGTATGTATGTATGTATGTATGTATGTATGTATGTGTGTGTGTGTGTGTGTGTGTGTGTGTGTGTGTGTGTGTGTGTGT